ATAACACAGAGAGCCACCACCAGATAGTGACAATAGATGGCTAGCCCCCAAGCAAAAGAAAATTCACACTGAAGAATCATCCATTCTCCCCCAAATATCATCTCTCTAGCAACACTTCAGTTTTCAAAAGACCTAGAGAAAAGAGGAGCCTTGCAAGGTCTTCTGAAGGTCACCAAGACAGGGCAGCAAATTCCAAAGCAGGGGGGTACTCAGAGAATGCTTTTCTAGCAGCTCCTTTTCTCTTTGATCATAGTAAGAGATACATAATTTTATAGACTGGGTGCCTTTTTTTTTTTTTTTTTGCAGCAACTCTGAAATGCCTGAATGAGTGGGGTTGAGGCAAGATCCCGCGCGCCCTGACCCCATTCCCCGGCAGAAGCACCGGGCAGGGGGGTCAGAGCAGGTGGGGGCACCCATTTTTCTGGGGGCCCCAACTGGCTGGGGCTCCTGAGCATGCTCCCTTGACCCAGTGGCAGGTGGGTGAGCAAGTGGGTGACCCATCAGCAACAGAGGAATGCTCAAAAAAGGTAGACCTGCCCTTGGGGAGTCAGGCCCGGTGCAGGGTGGTGGGAGGGAGCCGTTGCTGCTGGAGAGCAGTGTCTCTTCTCAGAGCTGGGTGAGCGCCTGGGGCGCCCCTGCCCAGAGTGTCCATCGCCCCTTGCAAGGAAGCCTGGAGGGGGTGGGTGGGAGGCAGCCCCAAACCCTCCTCCTGCCCCCCCCATCATTTCCCACCCACCAAAAGTCAGGGCCCACCCAAGTGTCCCGTCCTGGCTATGCCACTGGGCCACCCACCCCAAAACAGGGAGAGGACAGCCCCCTCAGTCCAGTTCTGGGGAGGAACCCTCCCCCATGCTCCCAGGGATCCTGCACTTGGTACTGGGCCCCACAGAAATATACTGACAAACCGGGGGAAATTCAGAGAAGACCACACGACAGCACCAGGGGATGGTAGGGCTGATTTATGGTGAGAACTGCATCACAGCATCTGATCCAAAGACTGGGGTCGTCAAAGACTTTGGCTTTGGATCAGACCCTCGCTTTCTGTTTGTGTGAGGCCCGATTTTTTCTGGGTGTCAATGGCCCCCGATAGAAAAAAAGATTCCCCACCCCTGTTTTAGAGCATAAGAATAGGGCTGGCCTTAGGGAAAATGGCACCCTGGGCAAGCTTTTATTTTGGTGCCCCCCCATCACTCCTGGCCCCTTGGTCTCCCTGGGATTCCCCCCCGCCCCATTGCCTCTGGGCCCCACTGCCTCCCCCAGTGTTTAATTTGAAATGAAAAAGAGATGCCAGAGCTCAGCCCTGGCACAAATTAATCACTGGCAGGGCAGCCTGATATTGGCGGGTACTAGCCGGGCACCCAGCTCTGAAGGCAACACCACCGCCAGCAGTGGCGGCATATAATAAGCGTGGCGTGGTATATGGTATATTGCCACCCTTCTGCGCCACTGCTGTGACTTGTGGTGCCTGATGCTCAGCATGTGCCTCAAGGCGGGCTTTGCACCATCACACTGGGGTTGCATCTTACCAGAGCCCATGGCCCTGTTGCAGCCCTCTGGCCACTCCTGGCTCACCCGGAGCACCATTTCGGATTTTGGGGTTCCTTCCCCACTCTGAACTCTAGGGTACAGATGTGGGGACCTGCATGAAAGACCCCCTAAGCTTATTCTTACCAGCTTAGGTTAAAAACTTCCTCAAGGTACAGACTTTGCCTTGTCTTTGAACCCTATGCTGCCACCACCAAGCGTGTTAAACAAAGAACAGAAAAGAGCCTACTTGGAGACGTCTTCCCCCAAAAATATCCCCCCAAGCCCTACACCCCCTTTCCTGGGGAAGGCTTGATAAAAATCCTCACCAATTTGTACAGGTGAACACAGACCCAAACCCTTGGATCTTAAGACAATGAAAAAGCAATCAGGTTCTTAAAAGAAGACTTTTCTTTAAAGAAAAGGTAAAAGAATCACCTCTGTAAAATCAGGATGGTAAATACCTTACAGGGTAATCAGATTCAAAACGTAGAGAATCCCTCTAGGCAAAACCTTAAGTTACAAAAAGACACAAAAACAGGAATATACATTCCATTCAGCACAGCTATTTTACCAGCCATTAAACAAAAGAAATATAACACATTTCTAGCTAGATTACTTACTAACTTTTTACAGGAGTTCTGAGTTGCATTTCTGATCTGTTCCCAGCAAAAGCATCACACAGACAGACAGACCGACCCTTTGTTTCCTCCCCCCCCGCCCCCCAGCTTTGAAAGTATCTTCTCTCCTCATTGTCATTTTGGTCAGGTGCCAGCGAGGTTATCTTAGCTTCTTAACCCTTTACAGGTGAAAGGGTTTTGCCTCTGGCCAGGAGGGATTTTATAGTTCTGTATACAGAAAGGTGGTTACCCTTCCCTTTATATTTATGACAGGGGAAGTCTCGGAGGAAACTTTAGCCATGATTCCATGGACTACTTGGGCACCTGAAAACTCTAGGGTTTTTGCCGATAATAATTTAGGAATTAGCTGACAGGAGCACTGTATCTAATTGTTATATAAAGAAAAAAATATATATATACAAACTCCAATTAAAGCCATGTTTAAAGTTTATATGTAAATTTAGAACAAAAAGGAGATAATACAGCAAGTTATTCCCAATCCCAAACCTTGAGGTATCAGTTCTAGAGCTTTAACACAGATATCAGAAACACAAGTTTGATACTTTGTACACTATCTTTAGTACAGATAAACAAACATTAATAAAATCTGCTTACTTTCTCTAACAGACACACTCTGTATTATTCCCATTATCTACTCTATTTTAGTCAATTGTCTTAAACTAAAAACATAATTTTAACATATGTGATTAAGTTTTTTTCTTGTTTATGAAGAAAGGGAATTTATTTTTCTAAATTATTTTGGCATTTATGTTTACTGATCACAATCATGTATGTGACTCACATAATTGCTATTGGTATCATAGTTGGAACTACATTTATTTTCATGCAAATTTTAAGTTATTTTACAGATAGAACTAAAAATACATTTGAAAATAAGTGACCTTCATCTGCCCAGTGTCTAAAGTTATGTGTTAGCTAATGGACTTTTAAACTGGCACTGCTAAAGTTAGTACAAGATAAAGTTACATTGTAGGAAAATATTATTATTTGATTGTCATTATTTAAAGTAGTACAAAGTACAATATGATAATAAAATTAATAATGATAATTACTCCAGCCAGGACAGGTTAGGCATTTTAGAACTCACTATTCAGTTATAACAGTAAATATATCCCTCATATATATATCCCTCATATATATCAGAAGTCATTACAACTTTATAGTGCAATTATAAAATGTCTTGGTTATACCATTTCCCCAACTTCTCTAATGTAAACCACCCCTAAATTGTGATATCTACATCAGGGAAAAATCAGGGATTTTGTCACTGTTTGGGATTGTGGGACTGGATGTTTCGGCTAGAATGAACAGCAGTGAAACAGCTAACGATATAGTTATTTACAATAAATGGAGTAGTTCTCATCTCTCCAAGTTATCGTTTAACGGACAGATTTCAGGAACACAGCACTGCATTGGTTTAGTACTTGTCTTACACTTGGAAACTTATCTCTGCAACCATAAGGGACAGATTTTTTTGTTTGTTTGTTTTAAATTGAAAGCTTAAGTTCTGGAGAACATTTCTGTGGCCTGAGTTGGATTCTGTGGCTGCAGAACATTTAGCGCCCTGGCAATGGACAGGGAACAGCCCTAAGGAACTGTCACAATGTCAGCTACAATGATTTTTAACTGCAAGCTTGGCAACCATTTGGATGGGGGCTAAACCACATTCTAGACTAAACCAGTAACTAGACGAGGTCACTACCAAGGCTAGAGCAGTAGACCAGATTCACTCCCGGGGACAATGGGATTCACTCCCGGGTACAAGGCCCCAAGAGTAGGAAACACCAGAAAGGGGCAAGTGGGATGGCAGGAGGAACAGCTTTTTCTGTAGATGAATCCCTCCTGGCATATAGGATACTTGAGGGCAGGGGTTCATTGAGGTGTGTTTTACACTTTCTGCATCAGCTTGTGTGAATATGGCCCCCACTTTTGAAACATGAGCCACTACACTAAACATCTGTTTAGCAAGATACGGGTATGGCCCAGGTTTCTTCGCTCTATTTGAATCTCACTGTAGACAGCAAATACCACTTTGACTCAAAAGAAAATGGAGCTTAAATGGTGCAGGAGGACAGCAATGGAACAGGTCAGTAAGTAGTATTAATGACACATATTGTAAAGACACACACACATAGGCAAGTGGTGATGCTAGTCAGGACTGAATAACCCTGGCAGAGATACACTGACAAAGTTCACATGCCTCCTGCAATCAGTGGTAGTCTCTCATTTCCATGAGTTTTAAATGGGAGTGTTAGAAAACCCTTTTGTCTGTGCTTTTAACCAGATTGATCATCCTGTAATGAAAACCTGAATGAAATTCCTGAGCAGAATCCAACAAGTTCACTGTACGCCATCGAGTTATTTCAGTTAGCTCATATTTCAGGCAGAGTTTACCTTGCTCTCCCTCCCACTCTACTATTCAATCTGGTTTGGGTGGGTCTTTGCTATCTGATGAAACCAGTATATTATGATAACAAAGAAAGTATTACACCAAATGTTTCAGAGAGCAACATATTTTGAAGGTCAGAAGCCTACAAACGCTTTTGAATCAAGGGATCATTCTTTTGAGAACCTTCAAAAATTTGCCTTTAAAAGTATCCTGCACTTGCCAAAGCCAGATGCTAGAACAATGTTCCAATGTGGCATTTAGAACTTTCCAGTATATGAAAGGGAAAATTTGGAATAGGATTTATTCTCAAGTTATATACGTTAATTTTTACTGACCTAAAAATTTATTTTTAGCCTTTCTTCATCCCTTCATAACCAACCCAGATAAAGGACAGAATGCAAACTCTGACATGGTTACTTACCCTGGCTTATCCAAAAGCCCCTTACCTCAGTCATTTCTTCTGTCAGATTACCACTCAGGCGAGCTCTCTGAAGCAATGCTAAGAGGTCAATGCTGGATTTCCGCCTGGGTTCTGATCCACACATGACTTCCGTTTCTGTTTCAGTTATGTTGATCTCCGTGTGCACAGCCTCCTGCTGTCTCCATTGCAGGTCCTCTCCTGCCCGTTTCAAAGAAGTGCTGCTGCTCTTGAGAGACATGACCGAGCTGGAAAGAGTGCTGGGGATAAAGGTGGACAGGGCCTGGGAACCTGAATAAGTAGTTTCTTCGCCTGTGAAAGACTCACTCTCCAGTATGTCGGGCACAGATACGCTGAGGCGTCGGTCCAAGGAATGCCTTTGCCTTCTAGCCACCATTTTTCTAGAGCTTTTCTTTATCATCTTTATGTTGAAGTTTTGTAACAAAGGCCTGGTTTTCTGTTTCAGGGATCCCCAGACAGAGGATCTATCCAAATCCATAGCTGCAACAGGGATGTCACCAGCTCCTTGGCATTGTTGGTTTTGAATGGACTTCAGTAATTCATAAGGTCACTAAAAAGAATGTGAGAAGAATAAAAGCCAAATCGTTAAAGTGAACAGCAGTTCTGGATTATGGCTCATGATGTCTCACCCACAGACCTTCAGTCCATTTCTAACAAGTAAGAGGAAAGCATACTGTGTTATTAGAAGGGAATGAGCAGTAGAAAGTGTGCCCTATGCTAAGGAATGATGGTTAAGATTATGTGAGGCCCATTTCCTTTAGGATCATCAGAAGTGGGCCATTTCCACTCTTTCCCCTTTCTGAAACCTGATATTGTGGGTTATCAAACTTTATGAATTAAAATATTCAACTTGACAACTGCTAGAGTTACTAGGAGTCCTTGTGGCACCTTAGAGACTAACAAATTTATTTGGGCATAAGCTTTTGTGGGCTAAAACCCACTTCATCAGATGCATGGAGTGAACAACACAGAAAGCAGTATAAATATTACAGCACATGAAAAGATGGGAGTTGCCTACCAAGTGGGGGGGTCAGTGCTAACAAGACCAATGCAATCAAGGTGGACGTTGCCCATTTTCAACAGTTGACAAGAAGGTGCGAGTATCCGCAGAGGGGAAAATTACTTTTTGTAGTGACCCATCCACTCCCAGTCTTTATTCAGGCCTAATTTAATGGTGTCCCATTTGCAAATTAATTCCAGTTCTGCAATTTCTCACTGGAGTCTGTTTTTGAAGGTTTTTTTGTTGAAGAATTTGCCACTTTTAAGTCTGTTATTGAGTGTCCAGAGAGATTGAAGTGTTCTCCTACTGGTTTTTTAAAATGTTGCAATTCTTGATGTCTGATTTGTGTCCATTTATTCTTTTGCATAGAGACTGTCCGGTTTGGCCAACATACATGGCAGAGGGGTATTCCTGGCACATGATGGCATATATCACATTGGTAGATGTGCAGGTGAACGAGCCCCTGATGGTCATCCTTCAGGATAGGTTGCAGATCCTTGATGCACTGGAAAGCAGATAGTATACCCCTGGTCGGGGTTCTAGGGGTGTGTCTGTGTAGATTTGTTCCTATGCTTCTTCAGGGAGTTTCTTGAGTAGATGATGTAGTTTCTTTTGGTAGCCCTCAGTGGGATCAGGCTGTAGAATGTGGTGTCAGGCTGCTAGGCAACTCTCTCTGGTTCATATTCCGACCTATTCATGCTGACTACAGCACCTCCTTGGTCAGCCTTCTTTATTATAATGTCAAAGTTGTTTGAGGCAATACCCACCTGCTGAAGTGAGGAAACAGACTGAAAGAGCCAGAAGAGTACCCAGAAGTCACCTACTATAGGACAGGCCCAACAAAGAAAATAACAGAATGCCACTAGCCATCACCTACAGGCCCAACTAAAACCTCTCTAGCGCATCAGAGATCTACAACTTATCCTGAAGGATGATCCCAAACCGGAAGGAGAACACTTCAATCTCCCTGGACACTGAATAACTGACTTAAAAGTGGCAAATTCTTCAACAACAAAAAATTTCAAAAACAGACTCCAACAAGAACTGCAGAACTGGAATTAATTTGCAAATGGGACACCATCAAATTAGGCCTGAATAAAGACTGGGAGTGGATGGGTCACTACAAAAAGTAATTTTCCCCTCTGCAGATACTCACATCTTCTTGTCAACTGTTGGAAATGGGTGATGTCCACCTTGATTGCATTGGCCTCGTTAGCACAAAAGTAATTTTCCTCCTTTGATATTCACCCCTTCTTGTCAGCTGTTGAGAATAGGCCACTTCCACCTTAATTGAATTTGCCTCGTTAGCACTGACCCCTCACTTGGTAAGACAACTCCCATCTTTTCATGTGCTGTAATATTTACACTGCTTTCTGCTTTGTTCACTCCATGCATCTGATAAAGTGGGTTTTAGCCCACAAAAGCTTATGCCCAAATAAATTTGTTAGTCTATGAGGTGCCACAAGGCTTCCTCAGTTGTTTTGCTGATACAGACTAACACGGTGACCACTCTGAAACCAGAGGTACTGTAATCTGGAAGAGTGATTGGCTTAGTAAATATTGTAAACAAAGATTTGACGCATGGTAACATTTTCATGAGAAAAAAAAACTGCAATGCAATGCTTCTGTGCACACTTTCCTGCCTGAAAGAACATAAGCAATGCCATACTGGGTCAAACCAATGGTCTATCTAGCCCAGTATCCTGTCTCTGACAGTGGCCAGTACCAAAGCTTCAGGGGTAGTGTACAGAACAGGGTAGTTGGAATGATCTATCCCTGTCTTCTCCTCCAGGCTTCAACATTTGTTTCCTATCTTTTAACCAGTTAATGATCCATGAGAGGATCTTCCCTTTTATCCCATGGCTACTTAGTTTCCTTAAGAGCCTTTGGTGAAGGACCTTGTCAAAGGCTTTCCGGAAAGCCAAGTACTCTATATTGACTGGATCACTCTTATCCACATGCTTGTTGACACCCTAAAAGAATTCTCACAGATTGGTAAAGCATGATTTTCCTTTACAAAAGCCATGTTGACTCTTCCCCAACAAATCATGTTTATCTATGTCTGGTAATTCTGTTCTTTACATTTGTTTCTACCAATTTTCCCAGTACTGAAGTTAAGTTTACCTGCCTGTAATTGCCATGATCACCCATGGAGCCCTTTTTAAAATTGGTGTTACATTAGCTAGCTTCCAGTCATCTGGTACAGACGTTTGTTTGTACAATAGGATACATACTACAGGTAGTAGTTTTGCAATTTCATATTTGAGTTCCTTCAGAACTTGTGAGTGAATACCATCTGGTCCTGATGACTTATTCCTGTCTAATGTATCAATTTGTTCTAAAACCTTTTCTACTGACACTTCAGCATGGGACAGTACTTTACATATGTTGGCCAAAAAGGATAGGATGTGCAGGAGATAGCTCTGTGGAGAGTATCTAAAACTTTCAGCAAATTCTTGGGCATCCCAGTATACCAACTCATAAACAGAACACTGAGGACTGCCACTCATCAGTCAAGGTGGAGTGAACAGTGATGGCTCAAGGCAACACCCAAGAATCTAGTAATCCAGGCTTCAATTGATGCACAGCTAATAACATTCTCTGCACTGATTATTGTCCCTAGATTCCCTGCACTCATTATTGTCCCTGGAAGTCCCTCCCTCCCCACAGAAACACACCACTACATGTCAGAATTATTCTTTGGAGGAGACCACTTTGAAAGTTTGGCACAGCAAGAGCTATAAATCCAAGGTGCCTGTAGGCAAGAAGAGCATGAATTTGTAGAATACCATCTGAATTAGATTAAAGAGACATACTTTAATCTACACACACACACACACACACACACACAGAGTAAAACTTGTTCGAACACTTATCCCGCAGCCATAGATCCTGCAGACCCTTTTTCATGCATGTAGTACATATTCCTCCATCACGATGGAGAGGTGGTGGGGCCAAATCTGAGTGATTGCCACTTGTGACCCCGTGCACCAGATCACGAGGCCCAGAGCGAGGAGTCAGGCCTAGCCCTGTAGGACAGGAGCTGCTGTTGCACGGTGAGTGTGAGGCAGGCTTGCTCTCCATCATCACTTCCTAGTATAATGCATCCGCTGAATCAGGAGGCCCCTGAAATAGCCCCATTGATATCAGAGAGACTAGTCACATCAGAAATACTTTTTAATTTCATTTAGAATGGCCAAAACCAGACCCTCTGAGAGGACCAAGGGAGGAAGACGTTTTAATAGACTTCAGCACAGTTGTGAGGTAGAACACAATTAGTTTGGCCATGGAGCATTTAATAACTGAGGCCAGCATACTTAGGGAACTCATCTCTGCATACACTACTTTACAAACTAAGCTATGGCTTTCAGCTGTAGAAATGAGATGAATATACTTAATTTAACCAGCCAGCTGCTGATTAACAAACCACTAATCCACATTTTAAACTCTGCCCCTCTCTACATATCCACTCCTGGTCTCCCACAGGCTGATGCAAAGTTGCCTGAAGTTAGTGGGACTCTTTCTATGGACTTCAATGGGCTTTGGATACGGCCCTTAATGCATCACCCTACCCCTCACCCTGTTTCCTCTTCTCCGCCAATGACGCCAGCCTCAATTGCTCACTTGTAAAACTCCTCCCACAAACACCTTTGAACATCCTTTCATCACACCCCTCATGCATGCAATGCTCTCTGAGGCATAACGCCACTATTCTCCCCTCCAGACCCATTTCTGCTGCGGTGCCAACACGCAGCCAGACAGACGACGATGCAGTAAGGCCAAGGAAGAGTCGAGACATGCTGATCTTTTTGATGAAATAATAAAACTTTAAAAAGTTAGAAAATTTATATAAAAATCCAGGCTAGATGTCTTTCTAGAATCTATCACTCAATTAGAAGCTATGGGCTTTATGCTGAAATTATTGGGTGGGGTTCGTTAGCCTGTGTTATGCAGGTGGTCAGACTACATGATCATATGGGTCCCTGCTGACCTCATAATATACTTATACAATCTTTCTCATCGATAGATTTTAAGGGTGTCACTCTCCCTCCACATTGCTCTACTTTTCAGATTGTAAACTCTTCAGGCAGGTACTGTGTTTTCCTTGCTGTAGTGATTAGCACAACTGGACCATAATCCCAAATTGGCCCTCTGGGTATTAATGTAATATAAACAATTAATAATAATGAGCTAACTCAATACAAGTCTTATTGACTACAGCATTAATAGCATGCAATCTCAGAAACAGGCTATTATCAAAACAACCTGACTCAAAAAGAAAAAAGAATCCCCAAACACACTTTCCTGGGCAGACTTTAAAAATTGCACAGAATGCTCCATCAGTTCCAAAGCTGATTTACACGCAAAGGGAACAAAGAACCTACCTTCAGGTACATGTAATTCTCTTAGGGTCTCATCCGTAGCCTGTTGAAGATTTCCACTGATTCCAAAGAGCTTTGGATTAGGCACTTAATGGCTGAGACACTTACTGGTATCAAATGCTTCATAAATTAATCAACTCCTTTGGGAGGATTTGCTTTCGCTATATA